AAGTGCCATGTTTGAATTTATATTTTTAATACATTGCTTTGACTGCCTTTTGAGAATAAGTTGGAATGGGATAGGAATGGAAGTAAGGAGAGCAGTAAGGAGGTCCTTAGAACAGTCCAGATGAATATGACGGTGGCTTGGACTAGAGTGCTAGCCATGGGAAGTCAAAGTTCTGAGCATAAGTTGATCAGGGTCTGCTGATGGGTTAGATGCAGAGATAGTGAGGAAAAGTAGAAATCAGGCAAAATGCTTAGATTTCTGACTTGAGCAAGCAGGTGAATGGTGATGTCATTTACAAAAATTAGGAAGTATGTATTTTGAGAGCAGAGAGCGGGCTCAATTGTTCAGTCTGAGATGTGTGAAGTCTAAAGTGCTAAAGACAGGTGAGTAAAGATACTGCATAGGAGGCTGGATATACTAAGAAGAGAAGTTTGAGATGCAGACATTATCACAGGATCACTTATCATATTTATTCCAATAACTGCTGACATTTCCTATCATACAACAATGTGAACCACTAGAGGACTGATACATTTCTTTTTCATGGTTGTTTGCCAAATTTCTGGTGCTCATCATGGAATAAATGAATGAATACTATGAACTTAATCCCCAGGCTTGAATATGCACATTTTTAATTGCGCCATATAAGAGCTTCCCTTGTAGCTCAGTCGGTAAAGAATCAGCCTGCCATGCAAGAGACCTAGGTTTGATTCCTGGGTTGGGAAGATTCCCTGGAGAAGGAAATGGCAACCCACTCCAGTATTCTTGCCTGGAGAATCCCATGGACAGAGGAGCCTGGTAAGTTCCCAGTCCATGGGGTCACAAGAATTGGACATGACTTAGTGACTAAACCATTACCATTACATATAAGAATTTAAAACATTAACAATGTTTAGCCTTTTTTACATGCTGCCTACCAGCTGTGTCAACTCCTAAAGTTGAGATTAAGATCTGGAAAACATTTTAAGAATCACCTAATAAAACTCCTCCTTTCATAGGTCAAAAAACTGGTGCTTAGACAGAGTGACTCAAGATTATATTAGTAGCAGAATTAGAAGTGGAACCCAAATTTTCTTATTCCACAACTGGTGATCATTCTACTGCTTTTCTGATCAAACTCATGCAAAACCAATTTCCATGGCATAGAGATAACTAAAAGTTTCAGAGAAGATCACAAACACTGCTTAAATTATAGACTTGCTTATGAAATAAATTCACCTCAAAAATAACAAAATGTGGAATACTAACACACCACTTTTTAATTTACTTGCTCAAAGAACTTCATAAATTAAAGAGAAAAACACCCACACACACACATTAAATGACTAAATGTTCTTTGGTTTCCAAGGAATTCTCTCACCAGGCCTTAGAGTAGAGACATTTACGATGGAAGATGAAGTCACTTTTAAAAAGAAAACATTGGTTCTTTTGAATCTGTGGAAAAGCAAATGTGTGTCAATACGCTGCTGACTCAATCAGACCACAGTAACCATATGAGGATATTCCACAGTGTTCCCTGACTTCTGAATACCTATGACATTTTCCCTTATGAAGATGATGCCCAAACGACAACAACAAAAATCTGCACAAGACAGACATTGCCACGCTTAAGAGGCGCACCACAAGGTCCTGCGTTTCCAGCCCAGGGCTGGTGAAACCTGTGCCACCGACTCTACAAATTCTTCATGAAAAATGGAACTCTTGGTTCTCATGCTGTCATCCACAGAGGGCTTTAAATAAAACACTCAATACTTCTTTCAGGGCTTAAAAACACAATAAATTTGGAAGTCCATGAAAGCTTGTGACATACTTAGAGACAGCTAACCCTTGAAGTATTGCCTTCATATAGGGTTCTTTCGAATGTGCTGGATATAGTTTAAGAAATCAACACTGGCTCCTTGAACGTGACCCATGCTTTATATTGACTGCGAATTCAGACACGTGTGGTGCATCTGGAAGGGGAGTCTGTCTGTAGGAAGAAATGAGGAGACTCTTGCAAAAGAATTAATCCAAAGGGAACAGAGCATAGATACATGAGCGTGGTCCAAGGACATTAGCACCACTGTGAATTCATAATTTCCAACCTCAACTTGGAACTAAAAAGTGACAGAAACTCTCTGTTGTTTCCTCATTCTGAATTCATGCCAACCCTCCACAACAGCCACTGCACACTCTGCTCTCCCAAAACCTCTAAATCCTACCCACTCCTCCGCAAAAGGAGGTCCACTTCCTGCCTCAGAGAGACAATAGAGGCAAGCAGGTGTGAGAACCCTCAGCTCAACACTACCCAAATCAGTAAGCCTTTTCACACCACAACCATTCTTTTATGCTTTAGTGCTATTTCAGGATAAATGACCTATTTTTTTCCTATTCATTTATCAATTAACTAAAGAATAAATCATTATAGAATGCTTTGAATTTCATCTTCTTTGGGGGGAACTCACCTGTTGGTTATCTTCCCTCTCTTTTTTTTAAACATCTTCAATCTCTCCCTCTTAACTGAATCTTTCCTTCCTGGCAGCATTTAAACACATTAATCTGCCTCGTCTTAAAGAAACAAATGTACAAAAACACAACAATTATTCCTTTCACCCTAGCTTCCTACTCCCCTAGTTCTTACCCATGGTTGTCCTTTCCTTCCCAGACAAAAGACTCCAACAAGGTGTCTCTACTTCTCATTTATCTCCATTTCCATTCCTCCATTTAGTTCTGAACCCACCCTAAATGGCTTTCAGCCCAACCATCCTTCTGAATGTGCTTACTTTTATATAACCAATGACTTCTATAGAGCAAAATCCAACAGATAACTTCTCATCCCTTCTCTTGCTTGAAGTATCAGCATTCAGAATTGTTGGCTGCCCCCCTTTTTCTGCAAATCATTTGCGTCCTTAGCTTCTCTGATTCCATATTCTGCTCTCATCTGTTTTTTCACTGTATTTCTATGACCTCTTCCTCTCAGCCTCCAATGACAACACTACATTTTAACGCCCTTCAGGGCTCAGTCCTAGGTCATCTTTCTTTTTGTTCTGTATACTCCATCTAATCAATTCCACATACTCTTACAAACTGAATGGCTCCCAAGTATATGCTGAGGACTCTCAAAGTTTATCTCCATCTCAGAATTCCCTATTGACTATCAGACCCATTTCCAATACATCCCCAACATCTCTAGTTGACGAAAGCAATTCACATTCATGTTGCAAACAATGTATTTATTACTTCCACCCATTCCCGGAGCTGTCAGTACAATCCTTGCTCTCCTCTTCAGTAAACAGAAGCATAAGTGACCAAGTAACTCTAGCCAGAAAACTGAAAGTCACTTGACTCTTTTTATATTTGTAAGGTCTCTTCAAAATACATACCTAGAAGACAACTTCCAAGGTCATGAAGACTGTACTTTTTGAGCTTCATTAGATACTGCCATCATTACACAGGACTGATACACTCCAACTTCAGGATAGTGGTTATCTGGAAAGAAAGCGATGGAGAGGGACCAGTGTTTGGGATTTTAGCTGAAGTGAAACATTTATTTCTTCAAAACTTGTGAAGCAAATGCAAATATTAGGCTTGATGATGACTAGAGAGGTACCTAATGTATTCTTTTCACACTATTTTGTACTTTCAGACTATTTCATAATTTAAATATGTTAAACCAAGCTTTCAGTGTTTTTCATTATCTAAGAATAAAATCCAAGTCTTTTATTGTGACTTACAAGGCCCCCTTCATCTGGTTTTCATTGGTCGTTCCAGCCTCACGGAAGAAAGCACAATGCCCTCATCTGACCGAAGATGGGGTTTGATCTCAGGAATGCAGCATCTTTACAGACTTTCCTGGCCTAAATCACTGAGTTGACTGGATTCCCACATTTTAGCTAATCGTTTTACTTATTTAGTTAATTATTCCACTGCCAGAATATCATTTTCAAACATGGCTTGAGGTGCCACTGCTTTTCCTCCAATTTTTCCTGCAGTCACCTACTTATTTAATTACTTCTCAGCTCTCAGATCTCAGCCTAAATGTTATTTCCTCAAGAATCCTTCTCTGCCCTTCTGAGGTTTTTTAAATTTTCCCTCATTATACCCTTTTATAACACTCTTTCCTTCCTTCCCATTTTGCAACATCCCTTACATTTGTAATCATTTCTTCAATGTCTTTCAACAATTTATTGATTTATTGGTTGATTTACTCTCTTGTACCTATTATTCCCATAAGACTCTAAGCCTCTTTAGGACAGCAACTGTGTCTCTTTTGTCCAAAACTCTATTTCCAGCACCCAGCATAATGCCTAGCACAAATGTGTTCAACCAATAGTTACTGATGAAAGTGTCAGAGAAGCAGTGCTGGGCAGGGTATGCTGGATCCTCCAGATCAGTTCCCAAACTCCAAGAGAACTATAGAGATCTAGGGCAAGACATATGAAATAAAATTAAAAATAAAAAATGAGAATCACATTCCTCAGATCTATGAGATACTAACATATAAAGCAGCAAGACCTTGAACACCATGTAAGTATAGGTGACTCAGGTTGATGTGAAGTCAACTTTCCACATCTGATGTGATAGTTGGTGTGGGGTGGATCAAGAATGGGACACACAATTGCCTGAGCCACAGGCAAGGCTAGCCAGATATGGAATTGTTAGGTAGTTAAAAAAGGAAAAAGGAGTCCAGAATGGTGGTGGCTAAAAGACAAGGAAGGGAAAAGCCCTCGAAATAAGACCAAAGGAAGATCCAAGGACTAGAGTGAGGACCTCAGGTAGAACAAACAGCCCTTCTGGCTAGCCCAAATTACATAGGACAGTCCCAGGGGGAGGAGAAAAAACATATAAAAAGAGGAGCCATAGAAAGAGGTGGGCTGGAGGCCTCTCTTCTCTTTGCACCTTTTGGGTCACCATGCCCTCATGCCTTGAGGATGTATTTTCCTTTACTTTCTAGATAAAACTGACCAGTAACACGGAGCTGTAACACTGGTCCTACCGAGGGCTGTAGCATGGGTCCGACCATGGGCTGTAACACGGGTCTGACCGAGGGCTGTAACACAGGTCTGACCAACGGCTATAATAACACTGGTCCCTCTGAGGGCTATAACACTGGTCCGTCCGTTCAAGGGCTATAACACTGGTCCAACCGAGAGCTGTAACACGGGTCGGACCATGGGCTGTAACACTTGTCCCTCACTTCACATTTTGGTTGTGATGAGACAGAACTGAAGAAATTACAAACTCCCCTCATAGAATCAAACACTAGGCTTCTAAAGGACAGGAGACATCATTGAGAGGATCAGAGAAGTGACCAGAATGGCAGAATGGCATGTCTCAGTCTGGAGCTCTACATTTACAAGCCCTTGTGAGAAGGTATCAATTTATCACAGGGTGGGTAAAGATAGAATTATAGAAATAAAAAAATTGTTACTCTTCAGTCAGTTCAGTTCAGTTGCTCAGTCATGTCCGACTCTCTGCAACCCCATGAATCGCAGCACACCAGGCCTCCCTGTCCATCACCAACTCCCAGAGTTTACTCAAACTCATGTCCATTGGGTCAGTGATGCCATCCAATCATCTCAGCCTCTGTCANATGTACTCTGCATATAAATTAAATAAGTAGGGAGACAATATACAGTCTTGGTGTACTCCTTTTCTGATTTGGAACCAGTCTATTGTTCCATGTCCAGTTCTAACTGTTGCTTCCTGACCTGCATACAGATTTCTCAAGAGTAATATTTCTCATTTAAAATATAGAAATAAAAAATGTGCTAGATCTTTAAATAAGGGGAGATTGAAGGCAAGAAGAGCTCAAGTTTGCAATCTATGGCTTTCAATAAAAACATCTGCTTTCAACATTGTACCTGATCAGTTGCTGCAAATTGTTTACATCATAAGAAAATAGTTTTGCTATGTATACACATAGGGATGAATAATGCATCCAGGAATATCTTTCTTCTCAAAAAATTATTTTTAAAAAATGAGTTATTTTGTCTACCTAATACTAAATCACTGAATTGACTGAATTCTCATATTTTATCTAGTTGCCTTAGTTATTCTGTTAATTATTTCACTGCTAGACTATCATTTTTTAACATAAACCTGGCATAGATAATGAAAACATAAGCTGTCTGAAAAAGCAGCTCTTTAAATCCACCAGCTATCTCATACCTCTTACTGCTGCCTTAGTGCTGTTATAAAACATATCACTTTCCTGACCTCCATAGACATTCCTTGGGGTCAATACTGTAGATCATATAATTCACTCAAAAGCTAAAGCTATTGTCAAGGCAACAGTTATATCCCAAAGAGTCTTGATAAATAATTCATTGAATACATTCTTTTCCAGAAGATCACTCTGGTCATGAACTTGGTTCTTCTTCAAGACAGTGTAAATACTGCCTCAAAATTGAAGAGCTAGTTCAGCATGGACCAACTATAGGGGAAGCTGAGGTAGAAAGGCAAATAACTGAACATTGAGGCATTTAATGCCTCAATGCCTGTTGACTTGCAGTTATGTTGCTGTCTTCCAGACCAGCATTTGCGACCACAGGGTAGAAGAGGCAGGGAGAGAATCCACAGTCTGGGGAAAGGATAGAAGTCTGTGGTTCCTACAAAGTTCCTGGTAATGGTCCAGGGAAGAAGCAAAAACCCCAGACAGCAGTGGCCTTTGGAGAGGCAAAGGTGATACAGAATCAGTATGTCACCTATTTCCTCCTCTCTAGCTAATGTGTATTCACTGTTTCTCTAGATAGTCACACTAAAAGTGAAAGTAATAATCCTTGTAAACTGCCATTTAAACAAGAATTGTATTCAGTTTAACATTTGTCATGTGAGACAAACTGCATCATTCCGCAAAAACAAGAGTCATCTGTGTGGCTTTGGCACACTGCCAGCATTTTCACCAGGCACTTTTGTCTTCTTGCCACTCCTGCCACTCCATCATCTAAGCTCCAGCATCCGTCCTCTCTGGTCCATGTGGTCTCTCAGAAATTTCTGCCTCAGAGTCCCACTGGAACGTGGAAGCCTTTAGAAAGGGGAGGAGGCCACGATCCTAGGATACTACATCCCTGGGAATGACATTCAAGGGAAATCTTTGCCTCTTTGCTGAAACTAACACAGTGTCTGTCAAAAACACCTGACCAGTCATTCTTTTCAACATTCTGTCTTTTCTATTTTGAATATATGCCACACGAGGGCAGAAATTCTATCTTTCTTGCTCACTATGTGCCTGGAACATGGTAGTGATTCAAGAAGTATTTGGTGAGTGAATAAATGCTTAGGGGGTGAATAGATGGATGGATGGATGGATAGATGGATAAACAAATGGGTAAAGGCAAATACTTTCTCATAGGCCTTTCGGTTTTACAGAGTGCAAAATTATTTGGAATGAATCACCCCAATATCCCTACAAAATGGCATTAAAAAAGAGAAAGAAAGCCTTGTTAAAGACTCCACTAGGTACAATTAATGATAAAAAAGAAAAAAAGGCCCTTTAGGACCTCTGTGTTTATTAACCTCACTAGGACTCCTAAACTGAATAATATTTTCATTGTGTAATCTTAATATTTTTAATTCTACTAAATTAATACGTGAGCATGCTGCTAGACTAGGAGAAATCTTTGCATTTTCCCTGGAATCTGCCCTGTCAATCATACCTCTAAATACAACTATAATAATTAGTGTTTTAATCAATTTCTAGACCTCATGGTTCCAGAGACTGTAAAGTGCAGTGAAGGCATTTCCTGAGTGAGACTGTTGTAAAGATTCACAAATGACATCTTCCATGGAGGTGGGTGTGTGCATGAGGAAAGAGGGGGAGGTTCCCCTGATCTCAGGCCTTCATATTGTCAGGGGGAAGCAACACAGTTAGAATGACAGTTTTGAAAATCTAAAACATGAATTAGTTCTGTCCTAGAAGTCTTAATGTCCCTACCATATTAGCTTTGTTGGCATTTGTAGGGAAAAATACTTCTAAGGCATTTTATTTTCTGTGAACTGGAAGCCGCATGTAAATACATTTTTTTTTCTTTTTTGATGAGGAGTCCCTGCTAATGTTTAATAATGTGAATCTGTGCTATAAAAATAAGTTCTCTGGTTGGAGAATATAACAGGCAACATTCCAGGGCAGGCAAGGCCAAAAAACATTACTATTTCACTTTCAATAATACTAGTCTGAGGCAACTAGCTTCATGGAAAATGTGTTTGGACTCAAACACATATGTTAAAACTGCCATAAAATTGCAGAAACATTGAACATCTATTTAAGGACCAAAGAAGAAAACTGCTAGACTCATTAATGACATATCCTTTAGCTTACTGGTACTTAGGAGACCAGCTATTTTAATTTTTTGGTCTTTTTATAATTATCAGGGGTTTTCCAGGTGGCACTAGTGGTAAAGAACCCATCTGCCAATGCAGGAGACATGAGTCATGGGCTCAGTCCCTNGCACAGAAACCCACTCCAGTATTCGTGCCTGGAAAATCTCATAACAGAGGAGCCTGGCAGGCTGTAGTCCATAGGGTTGCACAGTCAGACATGACTGAAGTGACTTACATGCACACACACAGACATTATCAGACTGTGTTTAACCATTCTTGCTTGAGTAGGAAGATTGAGAAGGAATCTGGAGCAAGGGAGCCAATAGAAAGACTGCTGCAAATATTTATACTTTAGGCCAGTTCTTCCAACCCCATCTCACACTGAAATCATTTGACAAACAGACAACGCTGCTCACCACAGGCAGGCGAAGGGTGGAGAGAAGGCCTTCTCTTAGCACATCTATACCCCATTGCAGTATCCTAGGGCACACTGGTTGGAAAGCTCTGGTTTGGGCATAACATAGAAGAACCACCAGCTTCCTTGGCCTTTCATTCTTTTCCTTTAAGTCTGGGGCTCACAGACCTCCCCGTCCTCCCCAGCACCCTCCTCTCATCTCTTGGTTTTCCTCTCCCTCCAGTCTATGGTGCTGCTCCTCCACAGCCAGAGGCAATACATCTTTGAGTTTGACAAGAACGACCGCCTCTCTTCTGTGACCATGCCCAACGTGGCTCGGCAGACACTGGAGACCATCCGCTCAGTGGGTTACTACAGGAACATCTACCAGCCCCCCGAGGGCAATGCCTCAGTCATCCAGGACTTCACCGAGGATGGGCACCTCCTCCACACCTTCTACCTGGGCACCGGCCGCAGGGTGATATACAAGTATGGCAAGCTGTCCAAGCTGGCCGAGCTACTGTATGACACCACCAAGGTGAGCTTCACCTACGATGAGACTGCTGGCATGCTCAAGACCGTCAACCTACAGAACGAGGGCTTCACCTGCACCATCCGCTACCGTCAGATCGGGCCCCTGATCGACCGCCAGATCTTCCGCTTCACCGAGGAAGGCATGGTCAATGCCCGCTTTGACTACAACTATGACAACAGCTTCCGGGTGACCAGCATGCAGGCCGTGATCAACGAGACCCCACTGCCCATTGACCTGTATCGCTATGACGACGTGTCGGGCAAGACAGAGCAGTTCGGGAAGTTTGGTGTCATCTACTATGACATTAACCAGATCATCACCACAACGGTCATGACCCACACCAAGCACTTTGACGCCTACGGCCGAATGAAGGAAGTGCAATATGAGATCTTCCGCTCACTCATGTACTGGATGACCGTCCAGTATGACAACATGGGGCGAGTGGTGAAGAAGGAGCTGAAAGTAGGACCCTACGCCAACACCACCCGCTACTCCTATGAGTATGATGCCGATGGCCAGCTGCAGACGGTCTCCATCAATGACAAGCCACTCTGGCGATACAGCTATGACCTCAATGGGAACCTGCACTTACTGAGCCCTGGAAATAGTGCGCGGCTTACCCCACTACGGTACGACCTCCGCGACCGGATCACCAGGCTGGGCGATGTACAGTATAAGATGGACGAGGATGGTTTCTTGAGGCAGCGAGGCAGCGATGTCTTTGAGTACAACTCAGCCGGCCTGCTCATCAAGGCCTACAACCGGGGTGGTGGCTGGAGCGTCAGGTACCGCTACGATGGCCTGGGGCGACGGGTGTCCAGCAAGAGCAGCCAGAGTCACCACCTGCAGTTCTTCTATGCAGACCTGACCAACCCTACCAAGGTCACCCACCTCTACAACCACTCCAGCTCTGAGATCACATCCCTCTACTACGACCTGCAAGGGCACCTCTTTGCCATGGAGCTGAGCAGCGGAGACGAGTTTTACATAGCTTGTGACAACATCGGGACCCCTCTTGCTGTCTTCAGTGGGACGGGCTTAATGATCAAGCAGATCCTGTACACGGCCTATGGGGAAATCTACATGGACACCAACCCCAACTTCCAGATCATCATTGGCTACCATGGTGGCCTCTACGATCCACTCACCAAGCTCGTCCACATGGGCCGGCGGGATTACGACGTGCTGGCTGGTCGCTGGACTAGCCCAGACCACGAGTTGTGGAAGCACCTTAGTAGCAACAACATCATGCCCTTTAATCTCTACATGTTTAAAAACAACAACCCCATCAGCAACTCTCAGGACATCAAGTGCTTCATGACAGGTGAGGATCAGGGCTCATTCAGAGGGCAGGGACCTCGACTGTTCTGGTCATTAGGATCATCTTTCTTGACAAAGCCAGTATGGTATAATGGGAAATATTGACTTTCTCTTAGAGCAACATTTTCCAAAGTATTTTTAAAGAAACACTAGTTATGAGAAATGCTTTGAACTGGTTTTGGCATCAAGTCAGTTTGATAGGATAACCACCATTCCAGAATTTTCATGATCCATTTCAGCTTAGGAAGGGCTCTGAGAACTCTTGTAGCAAAGGGAACTGTTTCATATAATTTCACATAATTACTCACTGTTTTTCCAACTTGTTTGACCATGAAACTGCCCCCCCCTTTTGTTTTTACCATGAAACCCTAATATCTCACTGGATGCATCCCTTGGGATGTATTTTGAGAGTTTCTAACCCAAAGATCAAGCTGGTTATGTGTCCCAGATAAACTGAGTGAAGGTACGGAAAAAAAAAAAAAAAAGAGAAACAAGAAATCAATTCTCTTATTTGGGATCATGTAAATGGAAAATTCAGACTTAGGAGACAGAACTAAAGAAAAGATCCATTATTTCTAAGCTATGGCAGTCACATAATTTACTTTACGTCCTTTGAATTCTGGTTTCCTGATCTATAAATTGAAGTTAGAGTATCTACCCTGACTCTGATAAGTTAAATATGCATATTGTAAATCCTAGAGCAACTACTGAAAGGTAGAACAGAGGCATAGCTTATCAGTCAATAGTGGAGATAAAATGAAGGCTAAAATAATAATCCAAAAAGGGAGGGGATGAGGGAGCAAAAGGAACAAAGAACAGATGGACAAATGGGGGGGGGGGAATAAAAAAACCCTGGTAGTGAAAGGTTGTTGTTGAGCCGTGAAAGACACCGAGATTCTTGGCCTCTGGAGAAGAGGAATTCAATCCAGGGCCATTGACGAGGCTTGACCGCTCTGAGCTTTTGTGTAATAAAGCTTTATTAAAGTATAAAAAATATAGAGAAAGCTTCTGACATAGACATCAGAAGGCAGCAGAAAGAGTGCCCCCTGCTAGTCTTTAGCCAGATGTTTTATGTCTGTTAGAAAGCTGTTAATCAGATAAGAGACACCTCAAGGCTGACGGAATTTCACCAGGCTCCCCTCCCACAATATGCATTTTTGAGATAGGATGACACGAGGTGTGTCATCCCCCAGCCATAAAACAGTTGATCTGAATACTGGTTTGTTGAGCTATTATCAGCCCAGGGTTTGAGAAAAGAAAAAAAGTTAGTCTTAGGTGGAACCATCTTGAAGAAAGGCAAATTCCAAAGCAAATACATAGTTTCATTAACATAGCTTAAGAAAAACATTTCCGTAAGAAAAATATCCATAAAAAAAGCATTGGTGAGCTCAAGGTTTGAGAAAAGTTAAGTTCAGGTGGAACCAGGTGTCGTCATGGCAACACAGAATTTTAAGAGAAAAAAATCTAACACTTGCAGCCTATTTCTTCCGTTTGGAGACCCCTGGCCTTCCTGCCTGTTACCCTCTCAGTAGGATGGGTTACCGGGATGAAACGAGATGCATTTGATAATCTGCCTAGCACAGCTCATGGCTCATGTTCATTCCCGTTCCTCTACTATCCAATTTTAAAAGCAGGCTTTGGTCTTCACTACTATGAAACCAACTTGAGTGTAAAGTGCCCCAGAGGTCACTCATGCCAGAAATGCCTCCAGCAGACTCTTCCCAGCAAGCAGCCACTGGCAGGTCAGACCTCACAAGTCAGAGAAGCTACAGGAATTCAGGTCTGGTTAAAAACAGCCCTTTTTATAGAAGAATATGTGTACTGGGCAAAAAGTTGGGCATGACAACTTTCCCCCTTTTTTGTCCTATGATACTACCCTCCTGCCCCATAATTTAAGGCCATTTCCTTCATCAAACAAGGGCATCCTCTGTTCAGCCACTATTTTAGGCACTGGGGATAGAAAGACAATCCTGGCCCTCCGAAAATTCCCCTTGCATGAGGCCAGACAGACACACGCTGTGAAGTGTGAGAGGCCCGGTGAAGGTTTGCCGTGATGGTCAGTGAAACTATCAGGAAACATGCCAGGAGATACAGCTGATTCCGCCCAATGAGCCACTGATGCACGAGGTCCCCTTACGAGTGGACTTTCACCAGGTGACAGGAAGAAGGATGATCCAGGGAGAGGGGGCCGCACACGCAAGAGTGCAGAAGGCAGCGTGCACAGCCTACACAAGTGCCCCTTGGGGACGTGCTGGCTTCCTGGGCCCCCAAACTTGGTGGCTCAGAATGGACCCATTTCTGCTGACAGGGACCTAAAGAATTAGTCTTCTTTCAGAGTAGAATTCTAGATGGTCCTCTAGAGAGCTGGAGTCCCAAGAGTGGGCAGGAAGAGAGGACACAGTGGTAAGCAGGTGAGATGAAAACCTCCTTGGGACATGTGGATGCACAGGAATATCCCAACAAGGTTTCCCATCATTCACTGTGCTCAGCTTGCTGCCAGCCCTGGAACATCTCAATGGGTTGACAGGATATTCAACTTATAACTGTCTGGATTAAGCTTACCCTGTGCCTCATCCTCCAATGAGCTTCCTGTGAGATGACTTGGCAGGTTACTATAACTGAAGAATAAATGGTGCAAAAAACCATTTTACTACCAAAAGCCAAGATGCAACTAGTTCTCACTAGACCTAACTATTTAGCTTCCATGTAGGCTACCTGCAACCTCATTCACATCCAGCAAAGACAGTGATAAAAAGGGCATCTTTTTTTCTAAAAATTTCTTCAAGGGTCCTGAGATAGACTCCAGTATAGGGCCTTAGGGCTTCCCAGGTGGCTCAGTGGTAAAGAATCTGCCTGCCAAGGCAGGGGACACAGATTTGATCCCTGGGTCGGGAAGAGCCTTTGGAGGAGGAAATGACAGCCCACTCCAGTGTTCTTGCCTGGAGAATCCCATGGACAGAGGAGCCTGGCGGGCTATAGTCCCTGGGGTCACAAAAGAGTCGAACACAACTTAGCAACTGAGCATGGGTGCATACGGTCTTAAGCCTGTATTGGATAGACTTGTATCACATGATGACCTCTGAATCAGCCACCACGGCTGGGGAGATAGAATGCACTGATTGGCTTAGCCTAGATCATTCACATACTCCAATGAGGAACCCTTAGGTGGAGTCAGCATCCCTAAAAATACACACATATACCTCAAAAAGAAAGAGAGAAAAGGCAGAATGGGACACTAGGATTGCAACTTTAAAATGTCCACCACTGATCCCTCATATACACCTTGGCATTTGACCATCCCTGTTGCCTGTGAGATGGGGAGTACGGACCCCATTTACAGAGGCAGAAAGTGAGGGTCAGAGAAGAAAAGAAACTGGCCCAGGTAGAGGGGCTGAGACTGGGCTTAGACCGCTGCTGTGTCTGACTCCAAAATCCTCATTCTTAGGTACCTGAGTTCTCTCTGTAAAGTGCACAGCTCTGTTCGTGTGAAAGGGATTGTTATTCTCCATCACTGTTCTAGGCAGCCACACTGAGGTCTGAGACGGATGGGTGAAGAGCTATTTAATGTGAGGGAACATCTACCTCTGATGTAGACGTTTCCTTTCTCATAGGAAAGAAAGGGAACATTCCCAACTCTTCAGAAAAGCATGGTAGAAAAACCAATGAATAAATCAGTTTTCAGCGTTTTTCCTAAAGGCATAACGAGAAAGTTTCCCACCTTCCATCACTTATAATTAAGGCCCGGGCCTCTTTTCAGCCCCCTGGTTTCCTGGGAATTTGCAGTACTCCTGGTAGAAGCTTTCCTCTGCAACTACAAATTCAGATGCAAGTTCTAAGCCTCAGGCAAAATGGCTTTGTAGCCATTTTTTTCCTCTCCATTCTGTTTGTTTTAATTTCCCAAAGAACCATCTGCCATGATTCATAGAATCAGAGATACTTAGAAACTCAGTGAGTATAGAGACTTTGGAGAAAACTGATCCAAGCATCTCATGTTCCAAATGAGGAAACGAAGGTCCAGGCACATGGAGGCATAGGTGTTTCTTCTTCAAACACAGAGGAAACACAGAAAACCTTCTATGAGTCAGAACCACGCTGAACACTTGAAAATACAATAAAATCAATCATTTATATAACAGACAGACCAGTTCCTGCTATGTGATGGCCAACTCAAATGCTAACACTGTTAGTATTCTTCTCCATGACTTGGTGAAAACTATTTCTCCCATCAATTTGCAGACAAAGAAACTGAACCTCAGAGAGATTAAGGAAAATGTTCAAATCACATGGTTTGTGAGTTGGGGAGCCAGTGTTTGAACCTGGGTTTTTTCTTGCCTTACCATGTTCTTTCCCTTATGTGGTCTTTCTAGAAGTAGAATTTGGGTTCCCAATCTTCTCTTTGTCCCATCCCTTCACTTCAGTACCTCCAGGCTTCAGACTCAAGAGATGGACTCTGTAACATCCAAAAAGCAAAAACAAGCCACCCCCCCAAAAAAAAGGCAAACATGAGGCTCTTAGGGTACAGGCAACACGGGATGAGGTTGTTGACCCCCAAAGGGCACTCCCATCATTGGGATAAACTCTGTTTCACCAATGCCTGGACCCTAAGAACCTCCCTGACCAGGGATCTATCTGCTTGGGAAGAAGCCAAAAGCAGGCCTGAATGCCCACTGCCCAGAGTTGCTGGCTCTGAGACTAAATTCTGAATCCTGCCTTCTCCTGACTTCAGATTCAAGTCTCTGGTCACCAACTACCTTGGTACTTCGACTGCCCCTTCCCAAGGAAGGCTGAGCCATGCTGGGACACAGGCTGTCTGTCTGTCTCGTGTGTGTGTGTGTGTGTGTGTGTGTGTGTGTGTGTGTATGTTATCCACTCAGTTATGTCCGACTCTTTGAGACCACATGAATTGTGGCCTGCCAGGCCCCTCTGTCCCTGGGGATTCTCCAGGCAAGAATACTGGAGTGGGTTGCCATGCCCTTCTCCAGGGGATCTTCCCTACCCGAGGGTCAAGCCTGGGTCTCCCACATTGCAGGCACACTCTTTACCATCCCTGTCTGTCTCCTGCAGACCCCAAATCACCTCCCACCTGCCACCTCAGCCTCTTCCTGCTCCAGCCACCGTTTTCCTTTCTGATTCTCTCTCTGCCCTGCTGAACTGCTCTCTGGTTACCTGAGAGTTCCCAATGCTCACCTTCCCACTCCAGGCCTTGCCTTACACAACAGCTTTTGCCTGAAGTGCCCCCCTCATCTCCACTGAAGTCTGACAAAATTTACGCAACTTTCAGTGTCTGACTTAAAGGATACCTTCTTCATGAAGATTTGTCAGCCTGTATGACCAAAAGACCTCTGCCCTCCCCTCAGCCCTTTTCTCGTGTCAAAGTTATCCATGCCGTGTGTCTCATCTCCCCTCCAGGGTCCTGAGTGTGCAAGCTGAGGGTCTGTGACACCAGTGCTGGGCCCAGAAAAGACCCTTAGTCACAGAGGGCCATGTAACTGATGGCACACCCTCTTTTTTTTCCTGAAGTCTTTTTTTTTCCCCTCTGAAGTCTTGACTTCCTGATTCCATTCTTCAGTGAGCCAAATGCTCATGACACTATCCCGCCAGGCCCTATACTGAGTACTTTCTAATTAGTAACCCCCCAGGAGTATTATAAAAACCAATAAATCCAATGCCTATGGGGCTCGATCATCAAACCCAATATAGAGACTGGCAATGAAGGCACAGGGAGGTTAGGTGACCTCCTTGGGCTGTCAGAGTAAATAAAAGGCAGGATCGGGGGGGGGGAAAACTCTTTGATCTGTGGTCAGGCCATCTCCATGGTCTTCCCCGGTGACTCAGCGGTAAAGAATCTTCCTGCAACGCAGGAGCCACAGAAGACACAGGTTTGATCCCAGGGTCAGGAGGATCCCCTGGAGGAGGAAATGGCTACCCACTCCAGTATTCTTGTCTGGAGAATCCCAGGGACAGAGGAGCCTGGCAGGCTGTAGTCCATAGAGTCGCCAGGAGTCGGATGCGACTGAAGCAACTTAGCACAGGCCAATGCACTTTGGCCCTGAGATTCTAATCTCTGCAGAAAGGATTGGAAAAGGGTTAAAGAGTTTATTTCTCTTTGAAGTTTCTCTTTGAAAGTCATTCATTAAAGTCTTTCCTTTTGGTGTGGTTGTCCTCTGTGTCTCCTATTGACATTTAAGTGGATGAGAGGGGTCTTCATCCATCAACAGCTGCCCCTGGTGGTGAAGCTGAAGGTCCTCGGGGTCAAGTGACAGTAGAAAGAGGAGTTGGGAAGCCTAGGTTCTACATGCATGACATCACTCTCAGATACATCCACAGGAGGGACCACTGGGCCCCAAGAGCACGCTCGGCTTCCATACTATGAAACGGTTTCCGGCGTGCTTGTTGACTCTCCCACCAGCCACCCACCACGTCCTCACCCCACCCCAGCAGCCTTCCTCTAGGCTGCCTTCTCGG